CGCGCATGCCTGGGGGATGAATTTGATGAACTCAAGTCGCACATGGGCTAGGAACATTCCCTGAAAATTCCAGCTTTCCAGCTTTGCTAGTTCCCGAGTTAGCCACTTTCCTGCCGAAAAGTCACGGGGCCGTACGCGGGAACCACGCGTACCTGGAGGCTGAATTTGAAATCTTTGAGTCATATTTGGACGGGGAACATAACCTCAAAATTTCAGCTTCCTGTCTTTTCGCTTTCCCGAGTTTTTTCCCGCCAAAACTTTCCCTCTCTCGTACGCGGGGTCCAGACGTGCGAGAGGGATGGTACCGCGGCTCGCCAAAACTTTCCCCCTCTCGTACGCGGGGCCCAGACGTGCGTGAGGGATGGTACCGCGGTTCTGAGGGTGGTACTTGGCTGAGGTACACATTAGCAAAACCCGCGCTGGGGAACTTGCTTGGTTGCCGAGTTGAAATACCCGGACAGACGAACACACACACACACACACAAACATACACACACGCACACATACACACATACATACACACACACACACACACACGCACAGACGGGGTCGTCTCAGTATGCGTTTTTGCAATTTGCATATAGGCAAAAACGCATAAAAACGACTGCTAAACGAAAATTATTTTCTTTTATGCAAAATTTACGATGATTTACGGTTCGAGAGAACAAGGTAGGTGTAAAGGAACAACCATTCAGTTAACCTAATTCAAGTTTGGTGCGAAAGCGCATGATCGCACCGGCTCGCCTGGTGCGTTCTAGTCTGGGTTTACAATAAAGATGCGAAACCGATTAAAAGTGCACAGAATGGAGAGTAGGATCATTTTGTGGTTTTCGGCATCGTCAAAATGCCACGGAAAAACGTGGGTAATGAATTAAATTGTTGCAGATCGTACCATCGCATATAGTGCCAAGCAGAACGCTCGAGATGAAAAGCGTAAAGAGTTCTTGGCTTACTGCCTGAAGCAATACGATTTCATTTTAACTATTATTGATCGTCTTGAATTCCCTGATTGCCGAGAATATGGCGACATATATCAGCTGCTGCATCAGGTTTCAAAATATTTCTTCGAATTTGTTGAATTCATCGATTTAACATAGTCAGCCGATACCAAACTCTTGCATTTGTATCACCCTCGTTCCTTCGACACATGCGGCACATCACATCCTGGCCGTAACTCAAACTTGGAAACTTGAAAATTCCATCTTTTTTATGCGTTTTGTGCTGTGTAACAGCAGTACAAAACGAATATTGGGGTTGTGTGTGTGTGTGTGTGTCCACATTTTGTCCCGCACTTTCAACTCGGGAATTACAAAAGCTAGGCAGCTGAAATTTTAGTATAGTGTTCCTCGACAATGTATGACGCGAAAAATTTAAATTCAGCCTTCCCGTACCCGCGGGTAGCACGTGCGGCCCCGTTAGAATTTTGGCGGGCAAAATTATTATCACGGGAACCACGTAAACTAGAAGGTTGAAATTTTGTGGACATTCCCCCCGCCTATGTGCTACCTGGAAAATTCAAATTCAGCTTTCCCCTGCCCGCGGGTAACATGTACAGCCCCATGAAAATTATTGAAAGGTAAATTATTATCTCGGGAACAAGCTGAAATTTTAGGGTTGTGACCTACTGCCCATGATGAGAGGTTGTCTATGTGTGCGTGTGTCTGTACGTCTGTGTGCCTGTGTGTGCGTCTGTCACGCACTTTCATCTCAAGACCTATGAAAGCTGCGGGACTGAAATTTCGGGAACTTAATCTACATGCACATGCCGGCCCCAGTCCCCAAAATGGGCGCTAAAACCCGCGTGGTACCCGTGTACGGGTCCGCCAAAGTTTTTTCGGTGTAAGTTGATAACTCGGGAATCTGAGAAGCTAGAACGCTGAAATCTTTGGGCGATGTTTCCCGTCCAAGTAGTTGTTAATGCACTGAAACCCATCCCCCGGAAGCGTGATACCCGTATACGGGCCCTCCAAAATTTTTTTCGGGTAATTTCATAACTCGGGGATCTGAGAAGGTAGAACGCTGAAGCCTTAGGGGAATGTTCCCCGTCCAAGTAGGTATTAACGAGTTCAAACCCTGCCCGCGAGTAAGCGTGGTACCTACGTACGAGCCCTTTAAAGTTTCTTCCGGGTAAGTTGCTAACTTGGGAAAGTGGGAAGTATGAAGACTGGGATTTTGAAGGGGTGTTTCCTGACAGTCCTGGCGGCCAGTCTGAAATTCTTTTAATTAGAAGCATCTGCCAGAAAAACCAGTGCCGTCAGCGACAAAAATCTGCGAGGAGCTATGCAAAAAACGCATCTTCGCACGGGCAGCCCGTGCGTTGGCCAATTATCATCCCTTCGCGTATGCATCATCTGCAGAAGATACACCGATTGCTGGTCGAGACTCCGCGTCGGCTGAGCGCGAAACTCCGGAGTGTGCAGTGAAGCGAGGACTTGAAGAGATATGTGCATCCGGAAGCCTTTCAAGTTAATCGTTCTGTTTTCATGGTATGTTGTTTCACAATGGTTTTTTGCAGAGGCACGCAGATTTTGTGGGCACTGTGCAAAGCATTCTGAGGAGTGTAAAGCTAAGAGTTTATGAAGCTAGCGACGAGCGAAGAGCTGCTTTTTGAGTTATTGAATTCTTCTGATCATGGATTAGGCTGTCAATGAGGAGCGATCGCAACAATCAGAAGGGCATTTCACTTTGCCTGTGTTGACTTCATAGAACGGATATCTGAGCCAGCAAATAATAGCACTGACATTAGTCGGAATTAGATTCGTTGGTGTATAATACCGAAATTATTGTGCCTTATTGTAAAATCAGGTGTTTGTCTTTCGTCTGTCTTCCTCTTTGAGCAGATCAGCTGTGGAATTTTCTAAGGACAATGATAAGTTATAGTTTTGGCTAGGTGGTTTTAGTCGTTAGGGAGGGGGAGGGGGCAGGGAGTGGGGAGGTTGGGGAATGGGGCGGCAGGTCATAAGTCTGAAATCATTCTGCATCTTTCTCTATGCGGTAGGGGCTAAAGGCCTTTGATCATAACTCGAAGTTCGAGATAATCTTATAAATCCGAAAATGCACAAATCGCAAAGTTACAAGCATTAATTTAGCTAATAATTTGGAACAGACCGTTCGGAAACAAGCCCCAGGTTCTGGTGTAGCTTGAATTACAACCTCATACCCAGGCTGAGAGTGAACTCATGATCCGATTAGAAAAACCCTGAAGTGGGATATTTTGGGGCGTTAATTCAGGCGGTTTCTTTGGGCACAAACTCAGATGAACACTATCGCTGACGCTGTTGACTCTGAATTCATGATAGGAAAACTGCGATTACTGCTTCCAGTCCAGCATAAAGCTGGAAGACCAAAAAGTGGAACGTCTAAGTACATATGTGTGCTTGTGAAAGTTGCTTCAAATGAGTGGCGGTTTATAGGCGGAGTTGATCCGAATAAAAAGTGCGACATGGACCACCGATGGATTCAGGGGGAGAGAAGTGGGTGGGCGAGAGATCTTCCGTCCCTCCCCGCTCCAGCTGCACAGGCACTAGTCCTGCAGAAGTATGGGTCTAAAGCTAAAACTAAACTAAAACCTAAAGTAACTCTAAGTAACAGTGTTGCAGCTCTTTTCCTAGTTTTTGTATAGTTCCAGGATGGGAGGACTCTCTTCCTCACCTTCCGTCTCGCTCTCCCAGGAGCTCATCCTGGATCTGCCCTATGGCGTGGACTGCATTCACTTCATTTTGTGAAATCTGAAACATGTAAACAT